TACTCCTCCCTCTTCAGTCAGTGGAGCCATGAAAGGTGCTCAGACACTCTTGTCCCAGGAGCTGTAGCTATACTACCGACACACTTACGGCCTTCGTGCTGCCCATCTTAATTAGGCACATTCACCTTAATGATCATCACCTTACAGTTTACCTGGCATTAACATTAACACCAGCCTCATGCGGTTAAGAACCTTTAGCGATCAAGGCCCAGTGCTCCATGGGTCTCATTCACTGGGTAAGGCGGACCATAGCAGAGCAGCTCAACACTCAAGCACATCTGGCCCCGGGACCGATCCCACTGATCTTCCTCAGCATCACCCGAGCTGTCCCCGGGTTCTGATGGCGACTCGCGGGAAAGGGCCTGGGTTTGAAGAGCCTCAGCTCAACCATCCCCCCCTTTCAAAGCAAGAATGCGGCGCACGCGCCCAGGACAGGCGACGTCTGCCCGTCTAGCGCTTTACAGGACGCACGAGTCCAGCGCTGCCACCACCCTGAATGGGAAAACAGACTGGCCCATTCTCAGGCTGCTGGCCACCAGTAGGGACCTCCTCTTCCTCACCACTATGTGTTCGCAGCGTTAGGTGTTGCCTCTCCGTGCTCCCTGCTCTGCCTATTGCACTGGCCCCCTTCTTCAGAGCGATCAAGACCTCTATAGACGTCAGCTTGCGTCTCTTACAGCTGTCCCACTGGGGAACTGGCTCCTGCTGCTGCAGGGCTGCTCTGAACCCACTCTGGCTGCACCTGACCGTTCCCAAGATGATCACTTGCACATGTAAAAAGCCCTACTGATGTGCATCCTTGGGGGGTTTGCCAAAGATTGTCCTCGCTGACCAGTCCTAAACTTTTTGTGACCTCCCACCAACCCCGGTGCTCCTATGGAAAGGCAGCCACTGCCTCCCAAACTCTCCAGGTGGCGACGACAAACCCCCTAGTGTGGAAAGACCTAGACTGCTCATGGCTGGAGTCATATTGCCCACTGCCCTGCGCTCTGCAGCTCTATCGCTTTCCTGCCTGCTGTGTGTCGGCACGCAAACCACTCCGCGCTCCTGCACTTACTCCACCTGCAACACAAGGTGCAACACTGTGCAGAGCCTCATGGGTCACTTCTGCCCAAGAAGGCAAAGAGGCAAAAATAGTGCAAGATAAGGACACTGGAAGGAAATTCAAGGAACAGCTTGCTTAACAGTAGATAACCATCTCAAACTGAAAAGCTGAACGCAATCTCAGGCCTCACAGCTCAAGCCAAATGGAAACAAATTAAGCGGTTCAAGGTTTTTTTATTTTTATATGATTTTCAGCCAGGATTTATGCTTCTCTTGTGTATTCTTGAAATGTTGCATAGGCTCATGTACTGTCTGTGGTACTGCACAACGCACGCAAGTTTGATGTGTCCAAGAGCAGAGACTCAAAGTGTTTGTGCGCAAGAGCTTTTTTTTTTTTTTTTTAAAGGTCAACATACTGCAAATATACTGCAAATATATCCACCATACTTTTAATCTCAATGGCCAACACGCAAGCCAACAGGCTGTAATACTAAGTTCACTCTACTGTATATCCAGGTGATAAATGAAGACCTGGGATTTAAACCGAAGCGCTGAAAAGCAATGCTGTCGAGGTGCATTGAAACTCCCATTTCCCACATGCTTGTAATACTTCCCACTGGGGTGTAGCGCCGATTGCTGATTAAGAGCATGCCTAAAGAGAGACGTACTGCATTCCCTTTTCCCTGCTTTTCAGGTCATGCTTGTGACTCGTGACTTTTTTTCTGGTGAAATAACCAGGCTTAAAAAAAAATGCAAAGACTTTCACCCATTTGCTATTTCTCTATTCCTTCTACTGTACAGAAGATCTACAAGAATACTATACACATAAACGTCGCCCTGAATATAGATATAGTTTTTTTTTAACTACATATTATTAGATATAATAATTGTATTTATAAATAATAGAGATAATACACGAGACAAAAAAAGATAAATACACTGTATTTATCACCTTCAAGAGTAACAAAGCACATACGGCATTTCAGTGTATCCAGCATTCAGGCTTAAAAAGAGGATCCCATGTGAATCCAGCCTGCAAGTGCTTCACCTGCCTCCCCTGAACAGGAATCAGCACGCAGTCGGGAACCGTACAGAACAGATCGCGTTTTTCAGAACTGAAAAGGTCAGGATCACTAGGAACTGAGCTTTCTAAGAAAAACGGGCAGCGGGGTGGCAGAGATAAGGAGGCGGAGGGTGGGACGCGGTGTCTATCGGGCCCGGCAGCAGACAGCCCTGACGCCACTGCTCAGCCACAGCCCAGCCAGCAGCTCGCTCCCAGGAGCGCCGAGCGCCGAGCGCCCACGCGTCCGCAGCCCCGCACCGGGGAACAGGCCCTTCTCCTGCTCGGCCCAAGGGCTGCTGGAAGATTGTCTCTCGCGGCGGCCCCAGGTCGCGGCTCTAAAAGACAATGACGCAGCTTGTCAAGAGATGGCAGAGCGCCTTGTAGTGGGCTGCGCATTCCTGGGACTCTGCACGACAAGAGATTGGTCAATCTTGATAAGAAAAGTATGCAGGAAACAAAAGAGCAGAAACAATTGGCTCTTCCAGTGAATTCAACACCTATATCACAGTACTCCCCCGTAGTTTTCCCCAGCTACAATAATTCCACTGTGATGCATTCAAAAAGCTTTGCCTATGCATGCAGGCCTATATATAATATACATGTTTTATGTGCTCATGCTCTGGGTAACCACATCCTTCCTAGATGAGTGGCAGTGTAGTCTGTACAGTGCCCTTTGCTGTGATGCCCATCAGCCTATATTTAGTCCCCTGCCGCCCTCCCCACTGAAACTGAGAACAACCTGAAACAGGAAGAGCATGCTGTCAGATTCCGCCACACAACTGCATGCTCCCAGGGAAGGGTGCCTGAAGAATGCTGTGCACAGGACAGGGCGCGGTGCTGGGCCCTCTACACCTTGATTGCAACAGTTTGGATTCCACGCCACACCACAGCCATAAAAACTACGAAAGGTGTGGAGGACGGAGTGCCTAGCGACCAGGCTTGTTACAACATGTTCTCCCACAGGAAAGGTCCTCGCACACGTGTGTTTGCAAGCGTGTGTACAGTAGCTGTGATATGCACAGATGCACGATGTATAGCGTCTCCAGCAATGAAGACAAATCCAATCAAGTCATGCAGAAGGGAGGAGGGGGTTTAGAAGAGGCTGTTCGGACCACGCACAGGAAAGAGCTGCTGCAGCAGGGTGGCGGCACGTTTGTGCGAAGAATGCTAGAACAGAACGTTTCAAGCCCCGCATTCATGCATGATCGGCAGGCACCCCCAACCTTCCTTCAAAACACCACCGAGATGAATGATGCAATACTGCAGGCCAGAGCGTTACAGCTCCTGGTGCAGATTTTGTAAAAAAAGGAAAAGGCGCAGATATTTCCAGCTGTCCGGCACTGATAGAACACGCTAGCCTTGATGCAGATGGGCTACACACTACTGGACTCTCTGGTGGGAAAACTCACATGTCTTGTGACTTCCACTCCCAGCAATCCTAAGCACAGCTCACTCCCTTTCAGTCAGGTTTGTCTTAAAAACAGCCGTCTGAACCAGGACACATTTTCCCATGGCATTCACACACGCAGGAGTCATGTGTCCAACTGATAAAAGAAGAGATAACAGCCCTGTTGATGTCATCAGTGCAACTCATGGTTCTAAAGACACAGTACATACAGTACCACATGCTTTATTTTTTATGCTTTTCACCAGTCATCCAGTTGTTTTTTTTTTATAAGGATGGGCAGCACAGTGGCTCAGTGGCCAGCACTGCTGCCTCACAACACTGGGACCTTCAGTTCAATTCCAGTCCTGGGTGCTGACTGTTTAGAGTTTGTATGTTCTCTCCATGTTCATGTGGTTTTCCTCCAGATGTTTTCTTCCCACAGTCCAAAGACATGCTGGTAGGTTTATTGGCTTCTGGACAAATGGGCCCTGGTGTGTGTGTGTGTCTGTGTGTCTGTCTGTCCTGTAATTGGACTGGTGTCCCGTCCTGGGT